TGATAATAATAATAATAATAATAATAATAATAATAAAGATAATAATAATAATAAAACAAGCGTTATAATATAGATCATTACAAAATTTGTAATAATATTCACTGTTCCAATGTTTGCCATCGTTGCAGAACGCCTGCCTGCGTTTCGACGAGTTTCTGCTGGAACATGAGGAGGATAAGGCGTGTCTCTTCCGACCCAACCTCTGCTACTTCTTCGGCTACACGCTGTCACTGTACGTGCGTCTGCCGATGGACCGCGATAGCAAACAGCGCCACTGTGTGCTCGACGCCGGTGAGTACAGCCAGCGCCCTCTGTTGTCCATAAAGCGCCCTCCGTCCGTAAAGCGCCCTCTGTTGTCCGTAAAGCGCCCTCTATCGGTCAATGTCGTACTGTATAGTGGTATGCCCAGCGCCCCCTGTCTGCGTATTTTGTGTTGAATGTGCAGTGTAGGGTGGTAGTTGGTTCAGTGCCCTCTATCTGTTGGTCCGGTGATAAATACAGGTACATGCACCGACGTCTATCTGCTGTTGTTGTTCCCTCCCACACAACCGGCACCATACAGGGGCGGATCTAGGGGGGGTGTCCGGGGGGTCCGGACCCCCCCTTTAATTTCAAAGTGCCCTAAAAAAATTCATCCCAATTTTTTTAGGGCTATAAGTTTTTCTGATAAAGATGTACTTATATATATATAAATTCATTATAAAAACCTAGAAATGGGCAGAGGGGCGTCTGGGGGACCGGATCTGATATCTTTTTGCATTCTAGACATCAAAATTACTGCTCAGATGCTCTCAGAATGCACCAATTTTTTTAAACTTTCTTGGGGAGGTTCCCCAAACCCCCCCCCCCTAAGTTCCCTTCGGCAGCTTTTTAAAACACCAGAAAAATTAAGCAGGAAAAGGTGCCCTTTAATTTTTTCTTGGACACCCCCCTTTCAAAAATCGTGGATCCGCCAATAGTGAGGCAATATTATGTCACCATCACGTAACCACCAGCAACTGCAGCAGAGGCCCTGCTAAATATTGCATGAAGCCATATGCGCACGGGGTGGCGAGCGCATCAGGTGATGCTGCGTACAATACTCCGAGCGTCGCCGTGGCAATCGTCGCCAGGCGAGGC